CTCAAGGAAAAACTTCCTTCTCGCGCCCCACCCCCATTTCTACCAATTTCGTAAGTGGTTGAAGGGACTGGTTAGTAAGAGGCCAAATGAGGGCAAAATATAAGTAAATGGACTCGAGACATAGATCTATAAAATGTGTAGATCTCCTGGCGTCAGATAGGACCAGTTGAAAATATTACGTACACTGCCAAATACATCTACTGTGCTCCTTTGCCTCAGTTTCCTCACTCTGTTGAAGAGACACAAACACTTCTTGTGTCGAAGTACTTGTCTTACTCCGTACTGCCCTGTCAGGACACACATCACTAAATGGTTGAGGAACAGCGTAGTTTTGTTCGTGAATCAACACGTCCTGCTACTGAATACACTTTGTTCGTTACTGCACGGCTTCTGCGGAACTCCGAGGATCAGCGGCCTAGCAACAAGGGTGATCTTGAATCGACTGTCACGGCGGAGATTGGGAGGTCTATTACACGGGGGTTAATCTTCTTTTGTTTTCATTCATGTACCGTAGTACGTGACTGTAGTTGGGTTATATTTTAAACGGTACATCCTGTATTATTCATTAGCAGATCTTGGTAGCCCCCCCCCCCCCCCCCCCCAAAGATCTTCCTGAACGTTTCAAGGAAAACAAGCGCCATAATTTCTTCCAAAAAGTTCTTGTTTCTTATTGTCAGTCCGAACTCTTTCAACTTTGCTACATTTAAAAAGTTTTTAACAGCAGATTCTGTGCGGAAATAAACTTTGTCTTGATATTCCTTAATTATTTCAAGCAAAACGTAATCAATCCCGGAACTTAATACTGAAACACCGGTCATCCATTAATGACAAGCAGCAATTCAATCAATCAATCAATCAATAAATAGGCCAGTTCTTCAAAGCAGCCCTTTCAGGTCTACCATAACAATTTCGATCCCAATTATATCGAACTTATCGATTGGTTACTGGTTATTTCGCTTCTCGTTCGTTGTCGAAACTGTCTTCTTTATATTGTATATTGGCACAACGGATTTTATATAAATACAATTAATACCACTTTTATAATTTTAGTCAACGACTTGGGAATATGAGGTTTATTTATTATTTGTTATAGACGAGTTTTGTGGCCGAGTTATCACCCGCGGATGACTTATGTTGTCTGCAGGTCTTATAACGAGTAATTCAATGCTGGAACCGTCTAGGTCTTAGGCTACCTAAACCAGGGGCCTAACAAATAGGTTTTCATAACTTCTTAAGTCTTTTTTACCTGACAAAGCAGAATAAAATTTTTGTAACGCTCCCCATTCTATGTTAAACAGGGCGTTCATTTAAAGTGGGATAATATGACTAACTGCCTTCAAAAACAACCGCGGTGTCTAATGCGCGCTGTTGTAATTTCCTTTACAGTAAAGCAGAATGAGTGTTAAAATCTCCGTCCTTTTTAACCCACTAAAATGTTCAGTGTTCTACAACATTTTACGCATCTTATATTTTAAAACCTTGCCGTGAAACGAGACCCATCCTCATATTCTATACAGAAATGAGCGAGTTTTCCAACCCCTCATGTAAACATATGCGAAGGACGGTCCTCCATTTTTTACAGCTGTGAGATACGATCCTCACACCTTTTACCCATCTTAGAGGGTGAGGCTATTTGTTTACCTGAACCATTTTTTCATCTGACCACAATACAGAAGAAAAAAAACATTCCGAAACCCTTTTAAGCCCTCTACACAAAGAAATGGTCCTGTGACGAAAGTAAATTGATCAGAATCCTTTGTAATACAAACATATCTCATCCTCTAGTTTCCCGCTAACAAAGACGGGAACAAAAGGCTTCTGTAATATGCAGAAAAAACACATCTACAATTTGTTGCTACATGAGAGACGGAGCAGATTCCATTAGAAGATGATATTCGCCCAGCTTGTCAACAAATTAACCGTCCAATATTCATTACCGTGTTCACAAGAGGACTACCCTGGTTCTTTCTCAGACAGCTGGACTCGGTCCACACCTTCAAAACCTAGGTCTTCATTAGACTGCTCTTCCAGGAAACCTGATTTTCCGACAAATCTGTGCTTTCCCTTACACGTACGACACGCCTTCCATGTTGAGGATACTAACCTCTTTCACGTATGTTCATTCTAATTATATTTGGCGAAGATAAATAAGTGTAAAGTACCTCAAATTTTTTTTATAATTTCTAATCTTACATCCTATCTATCGGCATAGCTAATCTCCTCAAACACCTTCAAAGTATGTTATTTCTCGTGGTGAGGGACCAAATCCCAATTAAATAGCCTAAAAACGAATGGCTAACATAATTTATTATTTTACTTTGATTTTTCAGTTTGAGATTTGACATTTCTGTTTGAGACGTGAGAGTCTAACGGCGGTAAAAATATCGATCGTGTCCTCCGGTTTGTGATGATGCCACGTGGCCTGTAGGTTCATACCCTAAAAATGTTACGTTACTCGGAACGTTTCACAGCTCCTACACCACGCAGAACACCAGGGTCATATTTCCTTGAAATCCATTTTAGGTATTATTCACGCTGTAGCGTGGGCGAATAACCCCTTAAGGGCCCTACCATATCTGTCTGTCTAACTGTCGCGTCTTTACTGGAAGGTACGGAACCCAGAGGAGCAGTGGCAGTGTTGGTACACACTGCTACAAAAAGGAAACCGATGCCACTGTTATAAAACAACATTGCAACAATGACCTTGGATATAATTGTTGTCTTATTTATTCCTTTCGAGTAAGAGTGATCTAAGCCCACAGTTCCTTCAATCAACGAAACAACCTGCTGACGTCACCATCCGTGTTGTGGAATTTTTGGAATTTCAGTGCACTAAAAGGAGTAAACCTTTGTACTCCTCCCACCAGAATCTCGGTCTTTTAAGTGCACATATCCGTATACAGTTACTTTTCTCCCGCAGTTTACATGCCCAACCAATCATAACCTCATTAATGTAACCAAAAAGTAGTTTAAGACCTAAACAAAATTAATTTACAGGCCTAATTCATGTGTCAATCTTGTTATGTAAGACAAATAATATATTTTAATTTTGTTTTACATCGCCAGTTCATATGACCCAACAATTTTACTGCTCATCCGTCTTGCAGTAGAAAACAGTTCGCGGTGTGGGCATTGCACCGAAGACTCCTGTAGAACAGAATTTACTAGCTCGACTGCCATAATCAATCGACAACCTCCGATCTGGGACGTCGGGCCCTTGACTTCAAATCTCGTATTTCATAATAAGCTGAACAACGAAGTAACAAGATGCTAGGCGTTAAACAGAACTTTAGGGTTTGGGGGGGGGGTTCCCCCGTAAAACACATATGCACGCCCCTTCATCCCATCCGGAGCAAGGGTCTCATGATATAATGCCCTGCTCCAGTAACGACGGGAGACTTTGCTTCACTCATACGATTTATCACAGTTTCCTACCCCTGAAATGGTGGACGTGAACCCCCTCGATATACTTAAAATAAACCATCCCTCGTACCAAAGAATCCACCCACATGTTAATATCATAAATAAGGGAAGAGACGTTATACCTGTCACAGGGTTAAATATGAAATACGGCAATAATATTGTGAAATTTTAAACGCAAACTTTAAATCGGAGACCAGAGACATAAATTCTTATGGGCTGCAAATACATACACTACATCAGTGACGCACTATTTCTGTACGCCTACTAATGTCAAAAAAGCCGATCCTCAGATGTTCACATGGGCCAGTTAATAAGAGGTTATATTAAGACGAATCTAAAAAGGTTTCTGTATCAATTTCACTGGGATTCACCTCATTTATTTAGTAAAATCACCTCTTATGTCTGAAATATAGGCCTTGCAATAGGATAAATAATTAATCGGTAAACTAATTTAGTTCCAATCAGGGACGTAAGCGGCGCTGTTTACATACTGCGTTAGACGGTTTGATCGTATGTTTTTAATCATCAGATACACTGCACATTTTGATGCATATAGGAACAAATATAAAAAATGTGTAAGATCACTTACTTTTTAAAATACTTATGTAGAGGAATTGGTAGAAAACAGATAATTAGAATATATATATATATATATATCTCATCACTAGACGATAGGTAACTCGACGCCAATATAATTTCAGTTATTCCTTTATATGTTTTCTTAGAATCATTCTCTTTCCATCAAAACATTTTCATCGAAATTTGCACTCACATAATAAATGGGACCACAAATTTATACGAATTTTTTGACTTGACTTTAGGAGGTGGACAAGATCCTTGTATTTACTGCGTGTAATTAAAAATCGTCCTGCACAAGGCAGCAAAAACTGTCGAATTTTATTCCGTGTAAATGCAGCTAATCGACCTAAAAATCTTCTATGAATTTTGAGATGACAGTCTTCTGAATTTTTGCGCCGTATTGTTCCGTAGAAGTGTACCGACGTTTCAGAGGTATTTGCTGCCTCCATCATCAGGGCGATGAGGCAGCAAGTACCTCTAAACAGTCGGTACACTTCTACAGGACTGCACTGCATTCCGTCGCAGAGAATTTTGGATTGTAAATATAAAACTGTACGATAGTAAAATAGATTATTTTTCTACTTTATTACCATAACTTGAAAACCTCTACAGTCAGGAGTGTGAAAAAATTCAGGACGAGTCCATAAATGTGTCTGAGAATTTCATGTCCGACTGTTTTCTGTGTCAATAATAACAAACATGGCCGTGGGAACATATACTGATCCACTTCAAACTCCAGGAAACAAAGCGTAAACCTTTTAAGCCAGCATATTATCTAAATAAGACTTAACAACTCAGTTCCTACCTCAATGCGTCTCACTACAGCGATTAACTGGGTAACACTTCGCGGAAATGACTGCTGTTTACTTCGAGAATCATACAAAACACACAAACACACTCTGTCGATAAGATACACAGTTACTAAATGTTAACGCTGGTGGTAAATATAATCACCACATTCGGCTCAGACTAACCAAACTGAAATCGTGTGTACTTACATGCAACGTCCACGGCTGCGGGCTGGCTGCGAATCTGCCCTCTGCTGGACCACGCGATGCACTCACACTTAAATTTATCTTTCCCAAAGTACTCCTCCACTTCATTGCGCGTGATGTTGATAGAAGCCTCCACGTTACGAACTCCAGTCTGAGGATCCACAAAGTCTTGCTGCATAGGTGACGAATTCGCTAAAGACGAATGTTGTTTCCGGGCGCCATTGCACCGGAAGTAGACCTGCAGCGCATGCGCGGCTCGACATTGCAGCGAGGCCGGCTTGTTTTTGATAACGTACGAGTCTGTCGGCTCTTCGAGAAATACGGGGAGAGGAACGGACTGGTGGAGATCCCCGTCAGAAGACGACAGAGTAGGCGAATGTAGAGTGTCTTCCAGCAGGTAGCCATCTGTGGGCAGGAAAACAGACTACAGTAAAATCTCGCGAATAAAAAGAGGAACGACAAGAAATGTAATCACCGATGGTTCAACGTACGTAACTTGCAGATCACACTTAAAAGACATTCATATATTTTAATAAACGCTAACTAACGTTTGTTACTTATTTGTGGTTTATTTAACGACGCTGTCAATTGTAAAACAACGTTCGCGTAGGTAATAGTTCTAGCGTTCGCTCTGTTACTGCCTATAGATTTTCCAAATCTTGAACACTCTTCAAACAGCGCAGACCTTCAGACAGCTGTTTGTTCCGTTGAAGCAGAGTTCTGACTTTTCTGAACGGACTTCTGACTGGGCGGGTGTCTGGCGCCTGGCTTCAATGCGTCATCATGGGGATTCCCAAGTCGGCGGGGAAGTGTCTCTGGCTTGGTGTCCAATTACGCAAGGAGAAACGCGCATTGGTGTGCAGTTATCCGATTTTAACCAAACTTGGAATGCGTCGTAAAGACTTATGTTAATTCTCCAGGCCAAGTTTCATTAAAATCCGGTAAGCTGTTCTCTAATTATTGTACGAGACAGGCGGTCAGAAAGACAGACATAGAGATGCTGGTAGAGGTTAAACAAAGACAGAAAATGTTGAAGAAAAACCTGAAAGAAAGGGTAAACAAAGAGAGGGAGAGAGACAGAGAGAGCGAGAGCGAGAGAGGAACAGAACAGGGTCAGCCGATAATGTAGACTGGAAGCAGAGTTCTCAAAGCTGGATGACGTAAGAATACATGCAACTTCCACGTGTTTTGTTCTGACTGACAGTAAAAATAATTGGTACGATGTAAAAGAAAACTACACAAAAGAGAAAAATAAATGCATGAGAATATAAACGCACGACAGGATCAAGAATATGGAAGCCTGGCAACCTGTTGAGCTTGTCCGTCAAACAATGCAACATCATATTGCGTGCCGGGAATGCAGACAAGTCACGAAATTGCGATCAAAGCATTTGCGTGACTTGGAACCATTACGCTACGAGAAACGACTCCAATTGTAACCGCGCGTGACAGATCGTGTCAGCGGACATTGTCAACACAAATTTGTTATCGGAGATACGTAACTGCTAAGAAAGACGAACACGAAATTAATTTTAACACTCTGAAGAAGGCAGAGGGAGAAGCGTAGCGCTACCGAGAGACCCTAAAATTTTAAGGGATAACTATAATATATTTTTTTTTGGATCTGAGGTTTCCACGACGCAACAACCCGGATGACAGCCATCTTCGTAAGACATTTTATGGATCTTAATGTTCCCAGGTAATTCTAGTTCGTCCTTCTGGTACAGGCAGGTTATAGAGAAGTAACAGCATTTTGAACTGTTCATATTTGTTCTTAGGCAGCAGTAGGCACGTCAAATCATCACTGTTATTAGCAGTAGTAATACAGATGACTCGTTGTAGGAGCGTGTCGCGTTCTTTGATAGTATAAACTTCAGTCTCTGCCTTAAGATAACAACGCGTATCTCCATTAAAGAGACGAGTTGGTTGATGCTCTTTAAGACAAATATAAGCTGTTTACTACGAAAGTAGCATGAACACCTAAATACATTCTGCGGGGAAAATGCATGGAGTTACAGGCCTGTAATTTTCATTCTTCTTTTTAGAGTTAAAAGCACAACAACCTGACCGTCAGTGCATCGTGGATTTATTTAGACAATTATATTTTTGTATATTTAATATTTTACGTACATTAAAGTTTATGCCACACTACTTACATATCCCAGGTTTAAAACACTGTCCGTCACATCGGTAATTCTATAAGTAGACGGACGGACGGACAGAGTAAAGCTTTGGGAACAATTATCTCCGAAACTGATTCATCTTCATTATCTATATAATCTGTCACTCAGACCTTATATAGACAACTAAAGATACAGTCTTACAAGGACACGTTTCACGTCGTATCAACACGTTCTTACCTAACGGCAGACTTGTTTACACACACAATGAAAAAATCATGTGTCCCCCCATAAACGGGACGATAGTAGAGAACCACGCGTTTGGTTAAAGAACGTAACCAGCCAGTGTCGTTAAAGAAGACACACATTATATTTGACTAAGAACTTGTTTGAAATATTTATTTATATGTAGTCGAGAATTGGATATAAGACATAAAGTAAGTTTGAAGAGTAACTTTCAAGTCAAATACAAATTTTCTGATGTCTAGTTACGTATATTTCATACTAGCAGAATTATATAAATATGGAACAGCCAACAAACAGAATAAGAACAAAAATCAAGGCACTTCTACTTGAACCAGGAAGTTGTAGACCGGGTGTGTGGAAAAAAAACTTAGATAATATTAAAATTATTGTCTTGGGCTTCGTCCATCGTCTAAATCAGTGGTATTTAACCTGGGGTACGCGCACCCCTGGGGGTAGGCGAAGACATCTTATGGGGTACGTTAAATTTAAAAAAATATTATTTTATAAGCACTGAATAATCAGTAATGTAATTTATTTAATTTATTTTAGATTTAAATTATATACTATGTATAACTTGAATTATACACCAACAACTTTGTGGGTACAAAGTTGAAGAGAAATTATATCTGGGGGTACGCGAACGAAAAGGTTGAATACCACTGGTCTAAATTATAACATTATAAAACTACATTTCTGAAACTAAATTCTGCTTTCGTGTTCAGGCAAAAGGGTGTTAAGTTTGCAAAAAGCACGGGATCCGTTTTCGAAACGTCGTGGGCATTTTTAACCTTGGACGATGGACAGAGTCCAAAAAACCAATAAACCCGACTACAACACACCATCGTAAGAACCCTACAGAATCCATCTTCAGTGGCTGTCTTGTAAACATGGTAATGAACGACTTCGGAATTCCAAGTCTACCGTCCTTGGTGCTTAATTAATTAGAGTTGCTGGCCTTGAGATGCCGGCTTACTAAGGCAGCGTCACAAACGCGCAGCTTAGCAAAGAACTCACGCAGAAAGCCGTGGACGAGGCGAAGCGGAGATGTCGAGAGGTATTTATCTCAATACAAACTACTAGAACCTAAATAAACACACGCTGGAACATTTAATCAGAACCTGTGTTTTAGAACATCTGAGAAATATCTCTAATATTGAGCATTGAAGTCTCGTAGAAGTTCAGCGAAGTTTCAAAGGTATTTATTTCCTCCATCATCGAGGCAATGACCCGATGATAGCCGTAATAATGTAGGCAGTAGTACGCAACTCTGAAACGTCGGTCGGTCAAGTCTATAAGACTACGGGGCGCAGTATACCAGAAGGCCGTAATAATCTTATTTGCCACCGTGAGAACCTTAAGTAGCACTGTAAATTTTAACTGATCATTCCATCTCACCTTCTCATGAAATTCCAAATGCTATTCGCTTATCAGACATAATTTCCGCTTAATCTACTTCATTAAAAGAGCCTTATCAGGTGGAACATCACCAAGTATTGTAATATGTAAAAATCAATGAAAATGAGATGGGCGGACCATGTAACACACATGGGGAAATGAGCACAATTCAAACAAAGTCATGGTCAGAGAGTTGAAGGGTCCCTTAGGAGACTTCGAATAATATTAAAACGAATCCTACGGAACGTAGCGGCGTACTGGTTAGTATTCTATCAAATTTGAGATGTCCCAGGTTCAAATCTCAGTCCGATAAACGCTTCCTTAATCTTCTTGTCATTCGACGTTATTCTGAGCTAAAACAAAAAAAAATGCTCGAAAAGAAATATGGTGGGGAGCTGCTGATTGGATTCATACAGCTCAGGAAGCTGCCCGTGGTTCTTGTGAACACGAAGATTCCATAAACGGCGGGGACTTTACTCCTTTGAGCGACGAGGTAGCTACGAAGTTGAGTCATGCGTAAACGACATAAAACGATGACACGACCGTCAGCTGACCTCCGGACACTCGAGATGTCACTTAACTGTACCTGTGTGTGTGTTCGTGCGCACGCGCGTGCTATTACTTCAACAGTTCTCCGTTTCAGACTTTGTACATAGAAACAACGTGTATATAGTTTCTGTTACAGTCATGTAAGATTAAAGAAAGCAAGCGATGATATGATAACCAGCGAAAACACAGGAACACGAAAGAACGTAGAAGGTAGGGGCCTAACTCAAAGTACTATATCGGTGCCTGCGTGGAGGTACTGAGTAAAATATGACAAATTTCAGCCAGGACGGTATGGCCACTTGGAAAATATTCTCTTTGATTATAGCATAATATTTAAAAAATCTGAAAGGAAAAAGGACGCGAGGGAGAGGATTAAATTGACTTGCGTCAAAGTTCAAATATGGCGCTCTTTTAAACTTAAAACAAAACGCGATTACAGTGCGCTGAAGGAATGAATTATGTAATCCATAAAATAAAGTCCTTGAGAATAGAGCTGGTTTTTATATGTTTTATATCATTCATTCTGTTAGTTCATTAGCATATGAGAGAGGAACGTTTTGGTAAAACAATACAAATCCATTTAAATATTCTTCACTTAAAAGTCCCATTTAAAATAAACATCACATATGAGAAAGCAATTTGTTCCTGCCAAGCAAATATCCCAGACAGTAAGCTTAATTGATAAAGTCCGAAATGAGCTGGTCTTAGACAGGATAGGCGAAGGAAAAATCTTACGAGAAGAGGAGAGAGGACGGTGGGACACATTCTGAGGCACCCAGGATTGGTTAATTTGGTAATGGAAGGAACAGTTGAAGGGAGGAATTGTAGGGGGAGACAAAGATTGGAACATGTGACGCAATTTTTTGAAGCTGTGAGCTGTAAATGAAGAGACTGGCGCAAGATAGGCGAAAACGTAGGACCGCATCAAAGCAATCGAAAGACTGACGACAAACAAACAAACAAACAAGCTTAATTATCAAAAAATTAATGATTCGTCGCTCGTATTCCTCACATGGATATTAATAATAAATATCTTTCAAGATGGTCTGTAATTTATTCTAGTTTTATTTCAATACTTCTCGGTCTCGATCTCAA